CTCCGAGTCACTCTCCGAGTCACTCTCGCTCTCGCGCCCGCCGCGCGCGTCACTCGCAGCCGCCACTTTGCAGCAATAACAGCTGCGGCCCGCAGTAATTCTTTCAGGCGCGTTTTTTTCAGGCCGCTTTTGTCCCCCAACCGCGGCGGGCGGCGCACCGACCCGGGGGCCAGGGAGGGGCCGTGCTGACGAAAACGTACTCAAGGGCGCAGCCCCGAAGTAGTTGGGGCAAGCAGTGAACCCGCTGGACGGTGAGGGATCGACCTCGTCAAACCCACTGTTATAAAGCTGACTGTGAGTTTGGCCGTACGCTACAGCACCGCAGCTGAAGGCAAAGTCACACACCCTACACGCTACAGCAAATGTCACTACTGTACTGTACCCCCCGCGAGAGTTTCTCGACAGAACTAGTAAGAAAAAGTTTTAGCGAGGCACACAAAAGTCGAAGGTCTTAAATCGAGAAATAGCGCAAGAAGTAAATCGCATGCACTTCTTGATTCCGGATGTTGGAGAATGTTGCTCTATTTTAAAGGTTTTGGAGGTAAAGATTGGTTGGGAAATAAATTGTACCAGCAAACGGGTTTGCCGATGCAGCGAAGTAGAGTAGACAAGCCGAATCTGCTTCTGTTAGTGTTCTTTCGTTATTATCTTTAGCGGGTGATGATCCTCCCGTGCGAAAGGTCCTCCTTTGCATCTATCGGAGATCTTATATTTTAAGATATACAAAAAAACATAGCGCACAGGCCTCAGAAAGAGACAGTCCACTCGACCAGGCCACAAGACCTGAGCAAACGGAAAGATAAAAAGAGTGTTGCGATGCTTGTTTTGTGCTTCGCCCGGGGAGACTTCTGTTCGCGGGTCGGTGTCTGCCGGGCCGGGGCCACAGTGTTCCGTAGGCCAGGCCCGCCCCAGCCCGCCCCAGCCCGCCGAACCCCACCCTACAGCCGCTCACGCACGACAGAGGCGCTTGGAATGCAGAATGGGACACTGCTCGGCTAGGTCAGGGCAGCTAGCGCCACGAGGTGGCGGCCAGCTATCCGGAGATGGACATGCAGGTCGCGGGGGCGCCAGGGCCAAGCCTGTATGCCTGCCGAGGCGGAGAGCGGGAGGGCAGCGGGCTGCTCTCACAGAGTGCTAATGGTGAACAAGGAATCTGGAGCCCACCTCTCGTCTTGTGCCGAGCCGCACGCCACTCGAGGCCAATTGCCTGAGTTCGAATTCATTATGGCTCGAACGCAAAATGCGCTGCAGTGAAGAGAGGTATAGAGACAGGACGCGGGAGAAGGTAAGGAGGGGGGGTGGAGTGAAGCGATGCGGAAACACAGCACAAAACTTCGGAGAAAACTGAAGGGAAACGGTTCTGCGCACAATTTCGCCGCAGACATTGTGACTCGACCCCACTGAAAAAAAAAGTTATGGAAAAAAATAATACAAGGAGGCAAAGGGGCCGGCATCAGTATGAGAAAAAACAACGCCTCCACCCTCTGCGCAGCACACGCGAATCTTAACCGCACTTTTTGAAAGACACACTGAAGGCAGGGTCGTGGCGGGGCGCCGTGCCGCGCCTTGCCGCGGTCGCCCCGCTGCCCCTTTGTGTCTTCCTTGTGTTCTCAACTAACT